CTTCAATGCTACAGCTTGTCAGCTTGCATCAGACAACAGGAAACTGAGAGTGATTGTAAGACACATATACTTAGATCTGGTCTGAATAAATTGGTACCTCATATATATGTTATTTGCACTGATAGATCCACCTGTACAAAGCTCTGTGCCATTTTAAAATGTGTATATTTTTAAGTAAGCTGCAATGCATATTAGCTCATTTTTTCCCCACTTCATTGGACACTTGGGCTCCTGCCATTATTTTCTGCTTTGCCAGTTCATTGGTACAGTGTCTGTGTGTAGTAGTCAAGGGCAAACCACAAGTATGATTTTTTTTCATTAAATCTCAGGCCTGCTAAACTTAGAAATATTACTAATAATTTTGACAGAATTGCAGAAACATCTTCAGTGGTTGAGAATCTTTTTTGCACAGCAACCTTAATAAACAGAATATGTACCATGCACAAACTACAAAATGCATGCTTCAGTTACTGAGCATGAAATTTAGGTGTTTGCTGAGGTCCTTGCATCTTTATGGTGCTAGTTATGTGTGAAGGGTGCAAGGACTAACTCAACTACTTAATCTTCTTTGCCTAAAACCACAAGCCTATTATCCACAAACAGGTGAAGAAAAGGCTATACCATACATGGTTTCTCTTATTTACATAACACAAGCTACTAGCTTTTGTATTTTGCAAGATTATTTTATTTTTCCTCCGAGCAAGAATCACAATGTACTGAATTCAGATAATTAGTACTTCTGTTGACTGGTATCTCTCCTCTCTAATTTATTACAAAGTCATAGTTTAGAGTTCTTAATAGATAGGTATGCATGTCCTTTTTCTTCCTCAAGTTGCAGGTCATGCCAACACAACAGCTGTAACTTTCTACTGAAGTGTTAATGTATAATAAGAATGGAAAATATTTATTTTTTTCTCTTGTAAATTGACAATGAAGACAATAGTGTGTACTATATTCTTTATATACAGCCATTGCTACATAGAACTGATTATACAAATGAGTAAAGCCATTGCAAATAAGTGCTTGAAGCCTGCACTGCTGAGCAGTTTGAAACAAACAGCTTGTTTCGACTTGCCCTGTGCATTTTAGTATTTAAAGTTCGTTTGTCCTGCACAAACAGCACAATAATGATATCTGGAAGCTGTCTTTTATTTAAAAAAAAAAAAAAAAGGAAATTAAAAAAGAAACCAAAATTTTGCATGTGTGTGAGCTGTGTTTTTGGGAGGGAGGGGGCACCAAACCCGATTCTTGGCATCAGGAACCTGTGGTTGTTGCCTGATATAGGAAGTCCAGATTCCTCACTTATGTGATTTTTTTAAATTTACTTATTTATTTTTTAATTTGTGTTGCTTTCAGATTCTCATGACAGGTCTCAAGGGCTTTTTCAACAGATGTGCAGCCCTTACCAGAGTTGTGAGTCACTACTCATGAACGCTGGGCAGTGACTGCATCCACAGAGATGTTGAACATGAGAGCTGTTTTGTGTGAAGGTGGTTTAAAAGTTGTGCTGTATGAAGCAGTCTCTCAAACTAATCATGTGATGCTGAGAAGGGCTTGGTACCCTTAAAAACTTGTTTACCAGCCTTTGGATGCTCAGAGTATAGTATTTGCCTGTAAATAAATACACCCGCTGTGATGATGATTTTACAAGATAGTTTTGAGCAATGCTACAATTTCAGTGTATTTTTGCTGACTCCCTTATTTTACAAGTAAGTTGTTTTGGTAACTTGCTCCAAACCTGACCAGCCTTTGACAAGCTCTTCTGCTATGTCACTTGTTGGAGCTGAGCTCACAGCCTGGGCACGTGCAGTGGCTGTTGAGCTACAGTCAACAGGGCCAATCCAGCAGGGGTAGAGGGGACCAAAGAGCAGGGCTGTGGGGACTGGTGGTAGGAGTTAATTCAACTATATCATACCAAAACTTTTCCTTTAAGGAAATGCCATGGTGATGAGCAAAGACTGGAGTGTCTATCTGTGTTGCTCTGTGGCTGTCCTGCCAGCTGCTGGTAAGCCTTATGCTGAATTGGCCAGGGTTGAAGTTTATGAGACTTCATCAGAGGGGGAAAAAAATCCTGAAAGTGACTTGCCTGTTGAATGTACGGCTCTTGGAGGGAAACTCTGTGGTGTGGCCAAAGAGGATTTTGGGTATTCTTGTGAAATTGTTCCATCCTCCCACCCTCACATGCACACACATCTACTCTTCACTGATGCCCAACTGGGGTAAAGAATCATAGAATCACAGAATCCTAGGGGTTGGAAGGGACCTTGAAAGATCATCCAGTCCAACCCCCCTGCCAGAGCAGGGTCACCCAGAGCACATCACACAGGAACATGTCCAGGTGGGTTTGAATGTCTCCAGTGAAGGAGACTCCACAACCTCCCTGGGCAGCCTGTCCCAGGGCTCTGTCACTCTTACAGTAAAATTTTTTTTCGGATATTCACGTTGAACCTCCTATGCTCCAGTTTGCACCCATTACCCCTTGTCCTATCACTGGTCATCACTGAGAAAAGCCTAACTCTGTCCCCCTGACACTCACCCTTTATGTATTTATAAACATTGATGAGGTCACCCCTCAGTCTCCTTTTCTCCAAGCTAAAGAGACCCAGCTCCCTCAGCTTTTCCTCATAAGGGAGATGTTCCACTCCCTTAATCATCTTAGTAGCTCTGTGCTGGACTCTTTCAAGCAGTAAAGGCTCCTCGGAGAGGCAGGATTTTGCCTGAGACAACTGTGCAGCCCGACTGCTCTGGTAGCTGCTCCTGCATGGCAGCAGCAGGTCACTGCGGTAAGCATGTTGCCTGCTGAAAGGCAGCTGTCAGTTTGCCACTCAGCCAGCGTGTAAACAGCATTGTCTAGGTTGTTCAGTACTTCCAGTTCCTCTAGAACTTCCTCCTGGGCTCTCCCCTAGCTGTAAACCAGCTCACTTACTACAGGCATCAAAACAAAAATAGTGAAAGACTGGCTTTGTTGAGTGGACCTCTGTTTTCCTCTGAGTTTGATAGGTTTGTGTAACAATCTTGAGGCAAAGACATTTAAATAACCTGAACTGGTGGCTGCTTCCAGAAGGTGCTGTCATTAACTGCTCACCCTGGAGGTGGCCTCCCCTTCCCCATCAGGGTAGCACAGGCTGGGTGGGTGCTCTGGTGTGCTCAGCTGGTGTTTGATTGTCACAGTTTGACTCAGGTCCGACAACAATGCTCTCGATCCCCTCCCCCTCCCACCCAGGTAGGGAAGGAGAGAGAGAAAAAGAGAGAGACTTGGCTGGATTGAAAACTAAACTACACAGCTTTAATTAAAACACTAATGAATCATACAAGAAAATATATACAATTATGTACAGATATGTTCAGGAATGGGCAAAAGCCTCTTGCCTCCCCCCACCCCAGCAACTCCCACAGCACTTCCCTGAACTGGGAAGAGTCCCGAGGAATCCCGGAGCTGCTGCTGGAGAAAGAGCAGAGAGTTATGGGGGTCACGAGAGATCAAGCCTGAGGATCGACGGTGATGGATGAACAGAGTCCTCCCTGGACACCGGCCATGGACCGAAGAGAAGGGGGGGAGAAAAAGAAGGAAGGAAGTTGTCTTCTGTGATCTCTGACCTTCCTCTGAGCTTACGTAGATATATGGAATGGAATATCTTTGGCCAATTTTGCTGTCTGTCTAACTCAGCCTCCTACGGGGGGGGTCACAGATCTCCCCATAGTGTCTGAGCTGGCAGAGTGCAGGTGCGGCCTTGAAGCCTCAGTAGTTAGAAAAACATTCCACTGTCTTATCAGCCTAGCAGAACACACTGTTGCTAGTTACAAGAAAGCTTACTGAAGGAAAAAAAAACTCAGTAAAAAGAAAAATTGGCTTCATCCTGGCTCAAACCAGGACATTGATCTTCCAGGGGTGGCTCAGAATCCACTTACAGAGAAATAAAAAGCTGGAACCTGTCCCTGGCTGATTGAGGGAAGGGAACCAAGAGTGCGAGTATTTTTAATAAGCCTGAATTTTCTGCTGTTGTCTGCGGCTGGTTTGGATCCTGCCACCACCTCTTGCTTTTGAGCATTTGTAGACCAGTGTGGGCTGGAGCTCAGGGGTTACAGTGCTTTAACTAACCCAGCGACTTGAGGGCTGTGTCAATCGAGACAGTTTCACTCCCGACTGGGAGCGTTTCCTCCCGGGCCCACCGAGGGCCGGGGCTGTTCGTGGCCCGCGTTACCTCACGCTCCGGCCCCGTCCCCCGCCGGCAAGTAGGGACATTGCCCCATACGGGAGAGTGGGCTGGAGAATAAGGGTTCCGCACACCTGCGGCAGGTGTGGCTGCGGGGAGATGCCCTTCCTCCCGGGCTGGGGATGCTGAACGTCTCTCGGGGGATGATCTCCTTCCCAGACGGCGCCG